TTCCTAAAAGAGAACTATCCCGCCCGTAATTTGGAGAAAAATCTGAGGCATTTTACAGCCCGTTTTGATTAGGCTCTCTACCTTAATGGAGCTCTCAGAAGGCAAGCAATGGGACATGCCGGCGCAGGATACGCCGTCGCTGGGCAGAGGAGAGAGCAGAAGACTGAGCAGCCACTGCGGCATCCTGCCCGGGAGTCGAGCCCACTGAGAGGTCTGAAGCATAAGCTATGCAGACGGGCGATCTTGCCGCTCTTTCTCCCGCTCCTGAGGGAGACGCGGCTTCCAACACTCGCTTCCATAGCAGCAGCAGCAGCAGCAGCCAAGGAAATATTCCGGAGGGGGGCGAGCCTGAACACCCTCCCTGCCCCTTGGGATCCCGCGGTGATTTAAGTTATTGCCGCCCGGCCCGTGAAGTCCGGAACTCCAAGTTTATTCGTTGCATCGGGGAAGGGAGCCCACGAACCAAACGGATCGGACTGAGTCAAGTTATCTCAACGGTGGCTTAGACTAGACTAGAGCCTTCACTTTGAAAACCAGCCCAATGATTTAAGGAGCGTTTGGAGCTCCCTTCTTCCCCTCCCTCTCGAAAAGAAGCACCCATTTGAAGCAGAGACTTTAAATCTGCTACACAGACGTTTGGAGAACTTCAGATTAGGATAACTCTCTACTACAGCTTTAGTAAAACGGCCTTTTCTAAAGCGCAACCTGTCTTTCTGTATGGTTTAATGGTAACTTTTTTTCTTCTTTCCTGACTGTTCTTGGATATGCTTCAGATTGTAAAGCACTCTGAATTTAAGGATGAGATAGAGCAGGGGTCTTCAAACTTGGCCCTTTTATGACTTGTGGACTTCAACTCCCAGAATTCCTCAGCCAGGCACACTGGCTGAGGAATTCTGGGAGTTGAAGTCCACAAGTCATAAAAGGGCCAAGTTTGAAGACCCCTGAGATAGAGTATAAAATACAGGTAATCCTTGACTTACAATTGAGCCCAAAATGTCTGTTGCTAAGCAAGACAGTTAAGTGAGTTGTGCCCCATTTTATGACTGTTCTTGCCATAGTTGTTAAGTGAATCACTGCAGTTGTTAAGTTAATAACACGGTTGTTAAGTGAATCTGACTTCCCTATTGACTTTGCTTTCAGAAGGTCGCAAAAGATAATTACATGACCCTGGGACACTGCAGCTATCATAAATATAAACCAGTGGCCAAGCATCCAAATTTTGATCAAATGACCATGGGTATGCTGCAACAGTCATAACTGTGAAAAATGCTCATAAGTTACATTTGTAACTTCGAAAGGTTACTAAACAAATGGTCGTCAAGGACTACCTGTATCATGGTTATAAGCTAGAAAGTAACTAAATCTGCAAGAGAATCAGCCAACATAGCTACCTGTTCCAGTTAAGTAACAGGCCAAATTTTTAACATAAAAGAGCTCTTTACATCATTATACAATTGTTACAGTACTGATTGTACATTATACAATTTTGCAGTACTGACTGATAAATATGTGATTCCAGTATGCACAATCCTACAAAAAAATCCAGTTTTTTTTCTCCAAAAGCTCTGATTTGCCAGATGCGCTTTCAGCATACTATGGCAACTGCTAAACATGTTTTCCCAAGGATTCAGTTTACCACTCTAAATCTTCAACTGCAATCAGAATAAAACTTAATTTCTAAACACAAGCACTATCACATTTTGAATTTAATAATGTGCGAATATTAGTATTTTGTAAATACACGTTTTCTATTTTTTGTTATACGCTACAGTTGCGCACTCCAAATTATTAAACACTGTAAACATAAAATCTGATCTTAATATCTGTAGTCATAAAAGAAGCTTAAAACAGAACAATGCTAATCAAAAATATGGCATATGCCATCTTTTAAACAGCTGTTCTTTTTTGAAAGATGACTGAAATAGGAGATTGTTGCACTATTGACATAAACAAGAATCTGTAAAAGAAATCCTTCCAAGGTACTTCTAGAATTACATACTGAACAGATGAGCATTACCAAAGGTAATATCAATATCATATGTGAAACACATGTGTTTCTCAGTAATATTTACTCCCTTACATTCATTTTTCTCTTAGACTAGGGGTGTCAAACTCGCCACGTCGCATGACATGTCACGACGTATTGCAACTTTTTCCCCATTGCTGGAGCTGGAGTGGGCAGAGTTTTGGCATGATGCATCTGGCCTGTGGGCCGGCAGTTTGACACCTCTGTCTTAGGCAATCCCTGTCAGCATAAACGGATCTAAGTGTTATATATATACTTGTGTGCTCACACACACACATACAATTTGAAAATACGAAACATTCTTTATGGAATATTCCAGCTTGGTCTCTGGTGTCTACTTTAAAAAATATTTAGTAACCAGATTTAAAAAGATTTTGCAAACAAATAGAGGCTTATTAATTCATTTTCCAGACCATCAATCCATGCATAATTGAGACCAACATATATATGTATTTCCTGTGGAGTATTTCCTTTCCATTTCTTATCACTTTCAGAAACAGCATTATCTTACAATCTATAATACAGGTAGTCTTCGACTTACAACAGTTCATTTAGTGACCAAAGTTTGAAACTGAAATTGCAAAAAGTGACATGAGTGGTTTTTACTTATGACCATTTCAGCATCACCACGGTCACATCAAAATTCAGACGCTTGACAACTGACTCACATTTATGACAGATGCAGTGCCCTGAAGCCATGTGATTACATTTTGTGACCTGACAAGCAACATCAATTGAGAAGCCTGATTCACTTAATACCTGTGTTATTAATTTAACAACTGCAGTGATTCCCCTAACAATTGTGGCAAGAAAGGTTGTAAAATGGGGCAAAATTTACTTAACAATGGTCTCAGCAACAGAAATTTAGTGCTCAACTATGGTCATAAATCAGGGGCTACCCTATACTGTATGCAAAGAAATAATAGATCTGAGAAGGTAGAAATATTACCATATACTCAGACTTACACTTGGGAAGTCATTGTAATGCCTAATCGGGCAATGAGTTGTTAAAAAAAAACAACACGGGGCAGTTCCGAATGTACTGCAGTAGGAAAGGCAGCACCTGTTGGCAACTATGTCTCTTCCTGGAATTGCATGTAGCTGCTTTAAACTGTTCCAATAAAGGTGATGTGTTTGGTTTTCAAAGAATCTTTTGAAGTTCAATCGGAAGTGTTATACATGAGTGGCATAAGAATTCAGACACTGAAAACGATTTCTGGTTACATTTCTATCTGCTATTCATTATTAGACTCTGAAACAATGGTAGGTGGCCAAGGAAGGCAGCATAGTAATTGAACTAAATTAATAGCAAATAATTTAGTCTCATAATATTTAAAGGAATTAACTTCTAGGTAAGTATAGAACTGCAACTGTAAATTTAGGATCATGCTTTTGAAAGCTATAGTCTATATCCATTCAAAATATTGACTTGTTTACAAGAGGCTTAACTGTAGATTTCTCAACCCAATTTTCTGAGACACACTGAACTATAAACTAACCATACCAGCTGATTCTATGGAACCTGCTGGACTATATTGTTGACTGCTTTGTGGCTCAGGTGTAGTTAGTGTACAGCAATTTACCTCTAAGGCAAGATTGTGATGATTAAAGTTACCTACCTGACCTTAGCTGGATTAAAAATCTAAGCAAGATTAGGCATGTTTAATAGGAGAGCTCCAGGAAATCTCAGGACTAGCCTAAACTAGGAAATCAAGCAATTGTAAACCACTTCTTTACTGTTGAAAAAAAAATCCCAACAGCACACAAGTGTCCATGAATTTATCAGAAATCAAATCTGACTTGGGCCAGATATTTCATTTATACAACATTTATAACTTATTCAACAAACCATAGTTGAACAAGATGGCTTATTTTGTCTGGAAATCTGTCAAGACCTGAATTATTTAAGACAGTTATGATAGAATTTACTACTCTGAAATGTTAGTTGTAATTTTCAATTATCTAAACTAATATTAATGTTGAAAAATTGAAGGCATGTTTCATAAAGTATTTCTACAATCAAGTAGGTCCACAGGCATATTGCTACTATGAATGCTTTCTACACGGGATAATTTGCACAGGATAACTGAACTGCACAGCTATTGGATGCCCAACTTGTTTCCATTGTTTATTTTAAACCTCAAAGGTTTAAAATTTTGGAGCTGGGGGTACATTTTACTTTGTTTACAAAGGGCAGTCTAGCTGATCTCGACTGATCCCAAAAATGTTAAGCAGGGTGAGATTCGGAAGTATTTCGGAAGAAAGTAGTGGCAATCACTTCCGGACTAGAAAACAGATACGCGTCCAGTAAGTTTCCTGGAGTCCAGCTTAGTAAAACAGGTTTGGGATCTCGCTCAACTATCTGGTTATGCGGGGTTAGAGACAACGAGGTCCTTTTCCACAGAGAACCTCAAGAAATATCTTTTGCATAAAAAGAGGACCCGAGCCGGGAACTTTGATCGTCAATTGTGTTCCGCAAGGGTGATGCTTTTGCGCCGCATCTGTCACGAAAGGTGAGATGGGACTACTGGATTACTCAGCAAACCTTCCTCCCTTCGACTGGATAATGGCTGGACGCAATCTGTCCCCAAGGAACGAATGGCCAAGTCCATCATTTTTCCCCGCCCCGCCCGTAGTGTAATGGCCGTTCCGCACCTCAATCTTCTCGCCGATGCAGGTCGCCATGGTGAAGGTGATGCGCTCACTCCTTCGTCTTATCCGTTACCACTATCGCATGACCGCCTAGCTAGGGTTATCGGTCCAGAGGCCTGTCCGTCCCCGCTATGGGGGTCGGCGAGAAACTCCCTCCTTGCGAGGTTCCATTTTGAAAAATTGCGCGGTTGCAAACTTCGCCCAGAAAGGTTGCGTCTGACGTCATACGTCATTTCCTCCCTCCGGTTCCTTGCGAGGACGCGTGCGCCCTAGACTGTTTATGATCGTCGAGAAAGGGGTAGAAAAAGCGCATGCGTATGGATGGGTAGTCATTTTTGCTGTAGTGTAGTGGGACGACAGGATGTATAGGAAGTAGATTTCAGACTTTATAGCCGGGGGAGTTAATTATGTTAAAAATAAAAGGGCTATATTCATGCAATATATATATATATATATATATATTCCTAGTTTACGTAGTGATCCCAATTTATTAGGTTTACCCAACGGGCTAAACCATAAGCTAACCATGCGGCTGAGAATGAATTGTTTAAAACTAAAACGTGATGTTTGTTGTTCTTTGTGCTGGGCAAACGCAGCCAAAATATGTTAGCTGGCTATTCAGCAAAATACTTCGTGCAGGGGCCGTCCAAATACTGGAAGGAAACTTGCAAGCATACGTTGAAGGCTTCTTTCATCGTTTCTGTGTTCCCGCTATTCATTAATCTTCAGTCTACAAACTTCTTGTGTCAAGCCAAGGTACGTTGATAATGCTAATCCAGAATATTTTTTTTGTATTGATCCCACCCAACCTAAGATTATTTTATCTCAGATGTGTGTTATGAGGATAAAATTGGAGAATGTAATGCTCCAGACATTGTAGCTTTGTCAACAAATATTAATTAGAATATCTGACCCCAAGCTGTCTCTGATAGCCTGCTATTCTAGTGTTTGCTTGACTGGTTTGTTCAACAAAAGGCAAAATTGGCTGGCTTTGCGTAAGGCATTAAGCCGTACCATATTCTGAGCTCATCCACACAGCAACTTTGCTATACTATCCTGGAGTTGGGAGAAAAATGTCAGTATATATAATGTTGCTGTGACATGAATTTGGAATAGGAGCTATGCTGTGGAGAGGGCCTTACATGTTCTCTGTGCAACCCTTGTAAGAACAGCGAAGAGTGATTATCTTGGCTAGAATTCAAGTGTGTGTGTCTTACTTTGTTCTGGAGCTTGCCAGAAACGTGGGAGCATTTGGGGAAAATTTGGCGCAATTAAAGGGCGGTTTGAACTGCCAGCTGACTGTGTTGCCTCTGTGCCATGCCCTGGGTCATTACAGGGACCCTAAAAAGGGTTGAAAGTTGCTCCGAAGAGGCGACAGAATAGGAGGGGACCCTTGTTGATTGGGGGAGGGCAGCGGCCCTTCTGTTTGATCTGAGGAAGCCCTCCAAACTGGCAGGGGAAAGACTGGCTACATTCGTGTGGCCAGTCAGAAACTGCTGACAACCGAAGAAAATAATCATTAACCAGGAACTTTCGAGCAACGTGGATGGAACTGGGTGAGACCCTATCCTCTCTTTACGACTTTAAGAGTTTTTCCTGGGGAAAAATTGCCCAAAGCAAAGAATCCTCCCCGATGAGAGAGGGAAGGGGAATTTCCACCCCATTCCCTCAGGAAAAGAAAAGCAATGAATTAATTGCTTGGGAGAAAACAGAAAATTACAAAACTTAATTTGGAATCAATACACATATATAACTTTGAAATTTGGGAACTAAAAGTGCTTCTGAGATTATTTTTTTTTAAAAAAAAGACTTAAAAAGCTTATAAGTTAAGTTTGAATGTAAAAAGCTGGAAGATGGTATCAACGACATCTAGTGGTGAACTACAGCATTACAATTTATTATGCCTAAAGGAAACTTGGCTGGAAGCCCAGACTCAGATAAGACTCTTGTTGTTTTCAGAAACTTTCACTTTTGAAGACTGCAGTTGGAAAAAAAGGGGGAGGGAACCTCTGGGCTGCTTATCTGTGTGGCAGAGGCAATAAACTATTTTGAAACTGGCGTGCCTGGATTACGAATATAAATATTAATTGACTTTTAGAGCTGTGTCATGGAGTTATTTCCCTATAGAAGAAACATGCATTATTGAGATGATGGAATACTTTGGATTATAAACCTTTCATTGATAACAATTTTTAATTGCTCTTTTCTCTCTGGACAGAAAGGATGTTTTTCATTAGACAGAAAAAATTGAAAAATTCAATCTTTACTTATATTTGCTGAGGGGAGACAAGGACGAACTGATAGGCTGGCTGGATAATTTGGAGTTCAAATGACAATTGACTGAAGTTTTTAAATCCCTAAATAGATTGGATTATAAAGACTACGTACAAAAACAAAATGGATGTTCCATACTTAGCTTCAAATGGTAAAAAAAACCATCCCTAACACCTGTCCTCAAAGTCTCCAGCTTGACATACTAACAAGAAAATGTTGATGAATTTCAGAAAGAAATTCTATGTTAAAATCTATACAAGAGTCAATTGCCTTAGCTCATGATGAGACTAAAAATAACACAAAGGAACGTTTTTTTAATCTAAATCTACAAACTCAGAAAATGACTACAAAGAAGGAACTAGCAACCAAGAAAATAGAAGGAAAATCAGAGGAAGCAGATCCAAAGATGGAGGACCTAGAGAAAGGAACTAACAGACAGACTCAGACAAACGACGAACTAGAAGACGTAGCGATAATATCGGAAATGGAAAAGATATCTTACTTGTCAACATCTCAGAACACACCTGAGGATAAGAAAGAAGAGCTGATTGAATGGAAGATAGAGTGTTAGGAAAATTGTGGGAAATTGGACGAAGGAGGCTGTTTAATGAATATCAATGGCCTGAGCGTCCTTCCAAAAATACTTTAATCAAATTGTCTTTCTTATTCTAAACAATATACACAAAAATAGAGGAAGAATTACTTGATGATTCAAATGCATTGACTTGGAAAGTTAGTTGGCAAAGGAAGAAAGCTAGAGTAAGATTGAAGAAAATAGAGGTTTTGACCCATTAAATGGGATATTATACTATTAATCAGATGTTTGAACATGGCTGAGAATAGATAATTGTTAGAGATAGAAGTATTATTATCACTAGAAAGATAGGATTTGTAACTAGAATATTATATTTTGGTATGAAAAGGGAAATATAAAAATGGTGAGAGGGTTTGAATAAGGCAAGCTTTTGATTACCCAAATATAACTTATGAGAAATTATAAGCGATAGAGATATTTTGAACACTGATGGGAAATTAAAATTTTTAAAAAGCGGGAAAACAGGATATTAATTGAACAATTGGATATTAAATGGACTCAGACAACACGTTTATTAAGTACTTATTATTGTAAAACTAGAAAATTAATAAAATATTTATAAAAATAATAATTGTGCACACATAGATAGTCTAAGAAAGACAAAACATCACTTTTACTTACTTAAATATTCATGTTTGAGGTTTATTAACATTTTGGATTGAGAGCACTGTAGTTCAATAAGAAAATTAACCCTCCAAAATACAACTTGCCTAATAATTGTGCACACAGTGTATATAGGAAACATTATGTAACACTGTATAGATTTATGCAAGTTGAGAACACGCCTCTGTCCCACTAGGCAATATTTATATAAGAATATATTTGCTACATAATACAAAAATCTGTTGAACTAGTCACCTTCACAGTGGCAGATGATTTAACTTCAGATTGTAATACTTGTTTCTTTCAAATAGGGTGTTTAAGTGTCCCCATCTGTGTTCAGTATTATTATGAGAATCATGTCCATTTAGATCATACTTTAAAACAAAGGTCACTACCTTTGTTGGTTGGCGGACCAGAGGAAAAGGGAGTGGGAAGCATTTTATGTGCGTGTGTGCGCGTACGGGGCCATGAGCACACATGCACTGCAAACGGGGCGGGGCTAGTGCCTGTGTGATACTCACTAGCCCTGCCCCATTCTTGCATGGCGCAGTGCCTTGTTCCTGTGCCCCGTGGTGTGGCAGCGGCCGTTTTTGTGCCTTGCAGCGCGGCAGTGGCCCATTTTTGCTCCCTGCGGTGCAGCGGTGGCCGTTATTGCACCTTACAGCATAGCAGCGGCCCATTTTTGTGCCCCGTGTTTTTATGCCCCTGCCCTAGCGCAAGTGAGGGATGTGCATGCACATGTGCACACTGACCAGCCTGGCCCATGGCCCGATGGCCAGCAGCCACGGCCCACTACCGGGCTGCAGCCCACAGGTTGGGGACCCCTGCTTTAAAAAATAGCCCATCATCAAATGGGCATAAACTATGTATGTGGTCACTTCCCATAATTCACAGACTTAAAATATTAAAATATGGTTTCTAATTAGCTATTGTAATTTAGCAAGCTTATATCCTCCATAATAAGCAAAGCAGCTGAGACCCCAGGGCATGCAAGCTGCTGTGTAAAATTTTTCCTTATCAAGTCTGACAATGGAAGAACATTTAAGGAATGTATAATGTTTTGGTTGTGTACTAGAGAGAAAAGCAAGCAAGTTTCTATTTGTCCTCTAGAGCCCTTGACTTTCATGCTTCTCTCTTTCCCTACAAACTAATTTCATTTTATTTTCACAAAAATATTTTGAGTTTTGGTCCAATTTAATTTGAGGGTAGTTTGAAAAGTTTATTAAAATATAAACTATATTTTCCCAAAAATTATTTTAGAGAGAAGTTAATGTTAATAATTAATAATTAATAAATTAATGATTAGGTAAACCAGGCATTTCTCAAATATAATTTATTGATATTATGTGAAGGGGAGAAATGGGAGGAAGTTAAGGATGTCTGAGCTAAACAGTGGGAGCTGATCAAAATTAGCTAATATAATTAAGTTTATTAATTTTATATTGTAAGACAACTGGTCACACAGGAATAAAACCAAGTAGTATCAAGGCTTTTTGTAAAAATAAATTGCCCATGTTCATATATACCAATATCAGGACTAAAATTAATTCTACAGGTGAAATAAATTCCAATGTCAATCATTGGCGGGTTTAGCATCTCCTGGAATTCTTATGTAATAGTAAATAGAATCTAATAAGGTTTTGCAATATAGTTTTGTTCCTGGCTAAGAATGTGCATTCAGATTAGTTATCCTTAATAAATAATTGTTAACAAAATTATCTTTGTTAAGTTTAACACAGTGTAGGACAAGAAAACCAGTTTTTGAAATGTGGGGAAACAAACCATATGAAACTGCGAGGCACTTACACAAAGTATTCCTTTAGGATTTCCTTACCTTCATAAGCATTTTTCATTAGCATCATTATTAAAACATAGCTAAGTGGGAAAAATAAATCATTATACAGACCCATCATATCCTAAACCAGAAGGTTTAGAATAATTCATAAAATGTAGACCTGTTATTGTACCATATACTGAATTAGTATACAATAGTATACATATATTCAAAATTTACCACAGGCTTGCTAAATACCCGAAAAGGCTTCTATAATTACTGCTTGTGCAAAATTGATTGCATAAACAGTAGAAATATAAGCCAAAATAATATAAAAATGTGTTCAATGCTTTATGTAGTGGGTTCTCATTAGTAAGCTATCCTTTGTTATTTATACTACATTCCAAAGCAATTTGCTGATAATCCACTGGCTAGCATGATAGGCTGACTTAACAGTAGTTGGCAAATGTTTTTATTGATTCTTTTAATCAATTGGGACAGATGGGAAAGCAGTATCTACCATACTACAGCAATATGAATATGATATACTAAAACACATGCTATAATTAGACAAAGAACATGTAATTCTTCTTTCGGACAAAACAATGTGTCTCTGGTTGCTGAAGAACAAATCCTATTTTTTTGGCAGCAGCAGAAAACTGATTTCTTCTTTAGGATCCAGTCAGTTAAATCTAAAATTTAATAACTTAGCAAATCAACTTATATGTGGAATAAAAAGAACAGAAATTTGATTTACAAGATTTTTGCAAAAGCATAGATACATTTTACATTATAATTTTTCAGCCAAAAATTGGAATGAGCAATGAAGGATTCTCAGTCTCCGTATGATTACTTTAATTTAAAAAAATGTAATTGCTAATCAGAAAGTGGTGTTAGCATGTTTTAAGATTATTTTTGGATTCATCTGTTCTAATATTAAGCTTAAATGTTAATAGCTTGTTTTATCTATTTATTAAAGATATATCAAATGTTATTCTGCAAATGCTTGGGACAATTACCAAAAATGATTACTACTGTAAACTTTCTGTAAGCACAATCTCTAAATCAAGAATATTATTTTTGCCAAGTAAAACAAAAATATTTTAAATAAGGAATGCTGTGTAAGTAATATTAATTGATGACAATATATTGTGGGTGTATTTTTTTACTTTTCATTTCAAGAAGTGCATTTTGTGAAAACAGGCAAAGGCCAGCATTCTGAATAAACCCAAGCCAGTTAGGTCAGAAGTATTTAAGAGAAATGAAAGCAGGTGTCTCTCTCGTTACAGTCTTCCAATTCCATACTATTACAATTTTAAGAGCGTCTCAGCATCAACACAAAATATGATACAGGACCGTGTGAATACGGGGACCAAGAGTTTTATTTTGAATCATGTTACTAGTTTGATGACAAAGAATGCTGCTGGTGTAAGGTCCTTTCAAGCTTCGGATATTGATCAACAAAATTTTTACAAGTTATTGTGGTACATCAACAAGATGAACTAGTTTGCCAACTAACCTCTATTTTAATATTTAAATTAGAACAATACAACAATTAGGAAAAGGTCAGTGCTTCCAGTGGCAATGTTCAAGCCACATCAAACTGAGTATCTTCTAAAATAAAGATGCAAAAATCTACACTTCAGCATCGAAAGTGCAATACTGTGGTCTTTCATGAATAAAGGAGCAGTGGCTTACTCACAATAAAAGCTTTAAATATGGTAGATTGTTGTCATTTATGTATCAATTCCGCTTCTTTGATATAAAATGTATCATAAAAGCTTAAACTGATTACAATCTACATTCAACTAAAGCTTCACAATAAGCTTAACCAATGGAATGAACAATGAGAATATACTCAATAGAAAAACACTTTAAACCTAATGAAAAGAATAAAGGACAAAGTTTTCTAAATAACTGAACATATGTAGTGTGAATTAAGAAAAAAAAGGACCCTCTGATTACTTGCACTGTTTTTAATGAACTCAAAGAAGTGTAAAACTTAGTCCATGTCCATTTCTTCAGATGATTTAGGCTGCTGGCAACTATCCTCTAATTTAGTGTCGGAGCTGCTTTGTCCATTCGTTGGCCTGTTTTGTTCACTATTAGATTTTCCTTGATCTTTAGACAGTGGTTCTGCTTTGGACTTAGGTTTGTAAATAATTGGATTACATAAACTGTCCAGTTCCTATCAGGAAAAAAAATAATTATTATAATTACCATGCAAATAACATAATGGCCTATGAAATTGATTATAATATAAAATACTGGAGATAAGCTTAGCAGTAAATTTATAAAATTACCCATAATTAGAATATTAAACAACACAATAGCATACAAGTCAACATGAGTAATCTGTAATAAGGAAACTTCTTTACATGTTTTTAAATTTTGAAAATAGAGTGTTTTTTAACTGCTTTTTCTCCCAGCAGCAAAAGCACATATATTATGATGAACAATTTTAGCCCTAATAGATTAATAATAGAAACCTTTTCCGTCGATGGAATAGAAAACTCATGGAACAAACCAAATTCTTCTTCTGATTTAAATATACTTGTATGTTATCACCTGAATTTAACATTTGAAAACTAGTTTGGAATAGGGCAGTGATGGCGAACCTTTTAGAGGTTGAGTGCCCAAACTGTAACCTAAAACCCACTTATGCATAATTGAGTGCCGGGTGGGTGTGGCCAATTGGCTGGGCGTGGCCAATTGGCTGGGCGTGGCTGCAGTAGTAACGGCAGACTGGGTGGGACTAAAAAGTTCAATCAATCAATTCCAACTTTGCAAGATCTTTTTTTCCCCGCGAAAAGTTGAAATTGACTGATTGAACCTTTTTTTTTTTGCACATGGCGGCGGAGGCCTAAAAAGAAAAGGTTTTATAAAACCCAGCTGAAGGCCTAGGACTGGGGCGACAGCGCGTGTGTCCACAGAGAGGGCTCTGAGTGCTGCCTCTGGCACCCGTGCCATAGGTTCGCTACCACTGGGATAGGGATTAAGGTGCTGGCCTACAAATCAGGATTCTGTGAGTTCTAGGACTCCCTTAGGCAGGAAAGCCAGCTCTCTGTCAGCCCAACCCACTTCAAAGAGTTGTTGTAAGGAAAACGAGGCATGAGAATAAGGTATATTCACTGCCTATATAAAAAGAGAGGATAACATCATCACCTAGAGAACCCTGTTTTCATATGAACAGGTATAGCAGGTTGAACTACATACGCCATATCCATTTTTGTGGAAACTTAAGAAATATCTATTTACTGTAGTTGCCTTAGCTTTTGCCAAAATATATTTTGTGTTCTGATATCATTTGAAATACTAAGCTATTCTAAGACTAATTCATCCTATTTTTCCATTAGAATATTTCAATCCGAAAGTTAATTTACCTTAGATTTTGCTTTTATTTCTACCACCTTAATAATAGGATCCTGTGTCAAATTCAGTCTGTGCTGTGTATGCATCTTTGAGCTCAACCAGTTCATAGCTTCACTGGCATATTTTTCAACCTTTTCCATATCAACAGGATCAATGTGATCATATTTTTTATCCTACAAAGAAAATATTAAAAATTAGCATTCAGCAATAAACATATATGTTTATCCCATAATGGATTTTAGAAGAGTTGATTTCATAATGATCTGTTACTTGAACAAACACATTCTGTTAAATTCAGATATATTATCTATTTAAAGGAATTTGAAAATATAGCTTTATTTATTGTTTGGATTTAGAAATTCCTGTTCCAAGTGGAGCTGGAGTATTGGTGTCACATTGTCACAAGCCCAAATTATCTTATATATCTAATTTTGAAAATTAGATTTCAATTTTATATACATTTATTGAAAATGTCCCATATAATGTAGATTATTTATGAATAACTATTATTAAAAACATATGCTCTGTCTTACCTTATTTTCGTATTCTTCTAGAGCTTTCATAAGCATCTGGAGTTTATTTTCTAAATCAAATAAAGCTTTTGGTCTTTCTTCATACTCCTTATATCTATCATGAATAGGGCCACCAAATTTCTAGAAATATAGAAAAATTATTGTAAAAGTTCTCATTAAAATGTAGAAAAAAATATAAATGAAGATAAAATCTTGTTATTAATTGATCAGAACTGCTTATAAATGATTAGTCACCATATATCACCATTAGTCACCCTGGTAATGCAATACTGCAAGCTACTTCTGCTGACTGCCGGCTGACAGCAGTTTGGCAGTTCGAGTCTCACCAGGCTCAAGGTAAACTCAGCCTTCCATCCTTCCGAGGTCAGTAAAATGAGGACTCAGATGTTGGGGGCAATATGCTGACTCTGTAAACTGCTTAGAGAGGGCTATAAAGCACTTTGAAGCGGTATATAAGTCTAAGTGCTATTGCTAGTGCTATATGAAAGAAACCAGGAAAATTGATCACATATGACAGCCAACAAGCCTATATCTTAATTGAGTGGGAATACTAGAATTCCGATTATATGGGAGGTACTCCAGTTCCTTGCTTAAAGCAGGAAACCCAATGCACCTCTCTCACATATTCCACTATCGACTATAGTTTGGAATAGCTGCCATCCCAATCCCCTAGTAGAAAGGCAGGATACAAATGAAACAAACACAGTAAAAGATCTAAAAAGTATTTGAGGCTTGGAAAAAAATCTAATGCTCAAGCAGGTGGGATGATGATAAAAGCTGCCTAGTAAGTAGAAAGAAAATACTGTATAATGTATTGGGGGGGTGGGGATCAAGTACTGAACAAAGCAAAGAATAGTTAAGAGGAAAAAAATGTAGAGAGATTCCCATGGAAATACAGGTCAATGTGTCTTCAGCTTAAGTATGCTCTAATGCAGGGGTATCAAACTGCTGGCCCAAGGGCCGATTGCATCATGCAGAGGCTGTGTCCACCCCAGCTCCAGCAATGCAAAAAAAGTTGCGATACATTGCGACACGTCACGTGACGAGTTTTGACACTCATGCTCTAATGGATTAATATAGACCAAATGCTTTGACTGCCTCAAAAATACTTTGCTTGATGGATCCATGGCAGAATAAAACATATAACATCTCTCTGTCAAAAGCTCAATATTTTTAAAGCAGACATCTCTTGAGATATTTCAAACACGGTTTATAGAACTGACATTTCTGATAAAGCCACACGAGGGGCTTCATGTTCTTAGAATGTTGAAATTGTATCTGTAGATTTGAGATTAAGATTGATCCATCAAAAAGGCATTTAGGGTGTACAGAACTCTTCAAAGAATGTATCTGAAAGGATGGACATCAATTTTTTTGTGCTGGAGGTATTAAAAAAAATTGAGGACCTTTATCCATATGATATAGCCGTGTAATCATTTGATATCTTTCTGGAACTTTGAATAGATTTATGGGAAAATATTTAGTATTTAAAAGATTTTTAATACTTTACGTGTTAATGTAATCCTGAATTATGAACCAAAGCTTTGGAATTTGACTGTTATAAGGAGCTATGATTGGGTTGAGTATGAGTGTGTGTGTGCATCAAAAATAATTATATTAAGAAAATTATTATTCCAGATAATCAAGGAATGACAGGGATAAATGTGTGATCTATTTTGTAAAGATATTTTCTACTAATCAACAAATGCAGCAATATGTAAATGAGGCAGAGATTCTGCGATATTTTACAATATCTTGTTTATAATATAGGAGTGATAAATTGATAAATCAGTGAATATATATATAATTAAATTATTTCTAGCAATAGAAAGCTTACTTTCATTTCCTGAAGTTTTTCCACATATACATGTTTTGGTTGGTCCTCTCCATCTTCATAAAGCCAGTTTTCTGTATCTTCTAACATTAATGTTATTTTTCTTGAATCCTAGAGGGAGAATACAACATATAACAATAGCCCAGTGATCTTTATCATTTTAAAATAGTGAAAAAATAGATCTACAATAATAATTTGCTACTTACACTGTTACAGTAATAAGATTATAACTAAAGCATCTTTTGTAAACTTTTATTTCTACACTGTTCATAAAGAACAAATAACAGTAATTGCAATGTCAAAGATAGGATTTCATGCTATTTAATATTTTTTAAAAGTAAACTTGGAGGCAAATAATACATTTACTAGAAGTATATAGTATAAATAGAGCTTTCTTGGTTTCAGTTATTTCAGGAATACCATAGTCTAGCTCCAAGTCCCTCCTACATACATTCTGCATCAACTCTTGTAGTAAATGTTAATAGGCAAATCTAATATAAATTTAAATTAGATCTCACATCTAATGGTTAATTTATCAGCAACATAGGTAGACCATAATTCCATTTAAGTTTTTCTCATAGAAGTATCTATCTGGTTTAATTCTATACTTAATAATGGCAATACATCTGGAATTTACTATATTTAAATCTATATTCAGAACACACGCTACTTTCTTTGCTAAAGTGTGCCGAAAGAGATTTTAATAAATGTAATATCAATGTTTATATTTCTGTAGGTATAACACCAACAACTATTAGAATATGGAAATTAAAAAATCAAAACAGACATTAAAACAAGATAGGAGCTGTGTTTGAATGCTTAAACGAGCAAAGATAATTTTAATGTATAGGATTGAAAATTAAACGAAGACTATAATCTATTTTCTGAGATTTTGGTTTACTCTGTTAATAGTAGAAATTAAAAAAAAAATAGTTCCACCTGTCATGAATTGTTGATTAGCTCTCCTTCAGAGCAAAGTTACTAAGGTCAGTTGTTGATAAACATTTTCCCAGGAGAGATCATACTTCTCAATTATTTACTACCACTAATTAGAATATACAACTCGTGTATTATGTATACCGACCAATAGACATATTATGTTTATGTACCTACACCTACATATATCAATATCTTCTTCTTCTTCTTAAAGAAAAAGTTCAGCATTTACTGAGAGAACGAAGACTGCAACCGAAGGAAATCCTGCCCACTATCCCACCAGTAATTCATGTAGAGGTGAGTAAAGGATTCCTGTTTTCTTTTTGTTCCCTCCTGCTTTCTCTTCTTTTGATTACTACTGATGCTCCTGCTACTAGAATGGAACATTTCAATAAATTATTCTGGCCCAATACAATGGAAAAGATGCTACTAAAGGACAAGCAACAAATGCTCGCTCGATCCTTGCTTCTGGTCTTGCATGCCTGGCATTAAGGAAGGAAATAACATTCCTGAAGGCCTCCAGGAATGTGTATTACTATTTTAATGAATATACTTTAATCATTAAAACAGTAATTTTATCTTCATTTCCTTCTTAAATAGAATTCAGTGTAACTTTTAGTTCAATGGAGATTCATCCATAGCCTCCTTCTGCCTTGATGTGTCAGTGAGGAGAAAATCTTGAAGGAGTTAGAAACTTTTATGTAATAAAGTGGAGAAATTTAACAATCTTCCCTCTCCCCCCCCAAACAAGGAAAACACCTCCAAATTCACAGGCCTAGAAGTTTATGCCAAACTTATGAGGAAATCTACTAAAGTTTAGGAGCGTTTGAACTGATTTATGAAGTAAAATATTTATAATCAATGGAAGCTCAAATTTATCTTATTTTATCCCACTGATTTTAAAGACTTATTGAAATATAACTAGAACCAACTCACTGCAATGTTTTACAAATGCAGCAATTTTAATACTAATGTTATTTTAAAGGACTTCATCATGTTAGTATCATGAGAACTCTTACATCTTCAGTTATGAATTTTTCATAGACGCCACAAAGCTTATCTCTCAGATCATACACATATTCTTCAACAGCATTTTTGGCATCATTTTTCTCCTTCTCCAGAATGTCTTGCGTCAACATCTTCCGCTGCAGCAAATAAAAGTATTCAGATAACTTAATCACAAATATAAAGCATGGTTGATTTTTTTTCTTGAAATGCATCTATATTCTTCCACCCCAAATTACTGGATTTACAAGGAACAATTAGAGATAATTTTTCTTTTCTGCACTGATGCATTTATAATTATTTCACATATATGATTCAAGATTTCTGCAATTGCTCACCTCATTTTCAATGTAGCAATTAATAAGATCCTGTTCAACCTGTCTATATAAGTTAACATGGATAGGTAGATCAATGCTCTTGGTCTTTGTTTTGCTTGACTGATTTGCATCAATCTTGTCTCCTGAAGCAGTCTGCAGAATAAGAGATTAAATTATGTCACCATAGCATTTCTTCCCATTGCACATAAAAATAGAAATCTGATTAAAAAAAACTATACCTGTATAATTTAGCAGATAAAGTAATATCCTAATATGCTGCCATTTTAAATAGACGTATTTTGTAATTTTTGCATTTACTTATGAATTTTAAAATACAAGATTTGGAAAATAGAGTGATTCTATTTTCCAACATTGCTTGAAAATAAACTCACCCAGAAGTGTTTCAGACTAGCATCCAAAGACCTTTCTACACATCAATTTCTTCAAGGGTTATACATAACAAGCATCCACCCTACCATGGGTGTCAAACTCGTGACGTCATGTGACATGTCACGACATATTGCGACTTTTTTCCCATTGCCGGCAATGGGGCGGGCGCGGTTTTGGTGTGACACATCTGGCCCGTGGGCCGGCAGTTTGACACCCCTGCTCTACATAAACACAAACCCTTTTAACCTACAGTCATGTGAAAAAGAAAGTAACTCTTTTGAGTTTCACGGTTTTACATATCAGGACACAATAAAAATTATATGGTCCTCAGCAGTTCTTAAAAGTAGTAAACACAACCTTAGATGAACAATATATGACATATTACACCATGACTTCATTTGTGTTACAAAAAGAAAGCCAAAATGGAAAAGCCATGTGTAAAAATACCTAGTACACCTTATGATTTAATAGCTTGTAGAACCATCTTTAGCAGCAATAACTTGTTATGACTTTTATCAGTTTCTCAAATTGTTGTAGAGGATTTTTGGCCCACTCTTTACAACATTGTTTCAATTCATTGAGATTTGTGGACATTTGTGCTTGCACAGCTCTCTTGCGGCCCCGCACAGCATTTCTCTTGGGTTGAGGTCTGGACTTTGACTGGGCCATTGCAACACCTTCTTTTCTTTTTCAGCCATTCAGTTGCAGTTTTTGCTGTTGTGCTCGGGATCATTGTTCTGTGGCATGATCCAATGTCAGCCAAGTTTTAGCTATCAGACAGATGGCCTCACAGGATACTTTGGTATACAGAGGAGTTCATAGTTGACTCACTGATTGCAAGGTGCCCATGTCTTGTGGCTGCAAACAAGCCCAAATCATCACCTCTCCATCACTGTACTTGACGGTTGGTATGAGATGTTTGTGCTGATATGCTTGTTTGGTTGTTGCCAAACATGGCACTATGCATTAGGGCCAAATATCTCCGCTTTAGTGTCGTCTGTCCAAAGGACAGTGTTCCAGAAGTCTTGTGATTTGTTTAGCTGCAACTTTGCAAACCTAAGCTGTGCTGCCATATTCTTTTTAGAGAGAAGAGGCTTTCTCCAGGCAATCCTTCCAAACGAACCATACTTGTTCAGTCTTTTTCTAATTGTACTGTCATGACCGTTAACATTTAACATGCAAACTGAGTCCTGTAGAGGCTGAGATGTAACTCTTGGATTTTTTGTGATTTCTCTGAGCATTGTATGGTTTGACCTTGGGATGAATTTGTCTACTCCTGGGAAGATTGGTAACTGTCTTGAATATTTTCCACTTGTGAATAATCTTCCTCACTGTAGAATGATGGCCTTAATTGTTTGGAAATGGCCTTGTAACTCTTCCCAGATTGATGGGCAGCAATAATTGCTTCTCTTAGCTGATGTCTTTCCTCTTTGGCATTGTGTTAACTCACACCTCAATGCTGGATATCAGCAAACTCCTAAAACTTTGGTTTTTATAGAAATGGTCACTCTTGCTGATGATTAATTGATCAAGGGCACTTGATTAGCAGCATCTAGCTGCTACTTAGCCACTTCATCCCTATGGAAGCAGTAAGGGTGTACTTAGTTTTTTATACATGGCTTCTCCATTTTGGTTTTCTTTTTATAAAATAAATGATGACGTGTGTTATGTATTGTTCATCTGAGGTTGTATTTACTTTTAAGAACTGCTAAAAACTAGATGATTTTTATTGTATCCTAATATATAAAACCATAGAACTCAAAGAGGGTGTACTTTCTTTTTCATATGACTATAAGTGAGAATTCCAAGGTGTCAAAGCATGGCACACTATTCTCAGAGTATTTAACACTTTCTAGCCCTATCAAAAGATAGACAGCCCTAACATTAGAATCTGACTTTATCATAATTTCATACATACCTTTCCTTCGGTCCCTATATGATCAGTTTCTTCATCTGTTTGACTTTGTTCTATTTGACTCTTTTGATTACCATCATCTTGATCAATCTGCATTTTAGCCTATAAAACAGAAGTTTTAATTCCACACTAAATTTTATGAAAAGTTTTATTATTCTTGTCAAGAAGCAGTAGCTTTTCACAATCAAACGAGGTATGCCAGTAAAAATAATTTTTAAATACAAATCAAAACAATGGTATTAAATTTTGTTCATTTTTATTTATTTATTTTGAAACCACCCATCTCCCTCACAGAAGGACTCTGTTCTTGAGATATACTATTCCCCTACCTACATGATTTTTAGAAAAAAAAATATTGAGGGATTTTTTTTGGAGGGGGGAATAATGTTTTTGCCTCTGAGTCAGTCATGACTTCTGGCAACTTCATGGACAAATCCATGCAGTTGTCTTAGCAATACTTTTAGAATAGTTTATTACTGCCTTCTCCCTAACAATAAAAGATTATTCAATTCCTTCAACATGGTTATTGCAAGAAAGTGTCCATGACTGATAAATAATTATGGCTGTAAAATACAGTCCTAATTACTTAATAATATAATTCTAATTATACATTAATGAGACCCAATTACTAATTATAATACTAATCACATATTAAAAGTAAAACAACCCACTTCAAACAAAATATAATTGCATTTACATCAAAGAACACTTTAAATGTTCTATAAACAATGGAGTTAAAAGAATCCTAGAAAAAGAAACAAAAAGATTTAAATGAAACTAAGTCAGTAAGCGGAATAATAGAAAGCTGAAAATAACCCCTAAAATTAGCACCTCATTACTATAAGAATTCACAAGCTTGAGGCAGAACATCATTTATTTATGAAAATTTATATGGCCTCCCAATTCACTCTCAATGACCCTGGGTGGCTTACAAAGGTAAGCAGTGGTCAGAATGCAATATTGCAGGCTAACTCTGAGCAATCTGGAGTTCGATCCTGCCTGGGCTCGATATTGATTCAAGTCTTCAATCTTTCCGAGGTCAGTAAAATGAGGACCGAGATTGTTGAGAGCAATATGCTGACATTGTAAGGAACTCAAAGAGTCTAATTGCTATTAAGAACCCAGTATAAAAACAATAAAAAGCAATCCGCTTCCCCACCCGCAACAACAGTCAATCAAATAAACCACTTGATGGGCTCCATCCCATTTTGGGTTCCCCAGGCCATATATCATGCTTGTGGCATTTAAGTCAAAAATTTAAAGTAATGATGTTTCTGGCATTTAAGTCAAAATTTATTCCAATATTTTTGAATGGTTTATTTTTTTTTAATGTACATAAGTACCACTAGCATGTTCAATTGTTAGCCAACATCTGAAATGGAAGTATTTTTGCTATAATTATAAAGGAACAAGTAATCTATTTTTATACAACATAAATGATACAGTAATGGAATGATCCAGAAAAAGCCATTGCTGTTTTACAAAGTTGCCAACGTGTGCTATATGCTTTGAATCCATTTTTTTTTGCTTCAGATTCCCAAAAACCTTAAGGCCTTAATAACTTTTGAAAAGTACAGCTATTAGAAAATCCTTATAATCACCATCTTTATATCCTACCCTATATTCAAAAAAGAATCCAAAATTTAGTCAATCTTTGCTATCTTCTGCTTACTATATATTTAACTTCAACTGAAGGGTTTCGTCTTCAGTCATGAAAGGTAAGTGTCAATACCCTTCATAGTATCAGACAATAGTTAGCAAATATTTGAAAGAAACAAGGCTTAAGAATTAAAATGGTTACATTATCCTATGAGCTGAAGAAGCTTCTTGGATGAGAAGCGAAACCTCTTCAAAGAAAAACAAGAAAGTCCAGTTGTCTCATGGAAAAGCATCTTTGGAATAACCATGACCTGGATTACTAAGAATCTCCATAGACATTTAGCTATCTATCCTATGTACTCTTTATCTACTTCTTTACTGAAATCTACATGAGCAATATTCAAGTTACAATCATATTTTCTGTTGCTTTGACATGCTTCTAACAGACATGCTGTAAATTTAAATTAACTATTTTAAAACTTTTATGGAACTTAAGGAGACATATTTACAATTAACTAAGCATGTGTATATGTATATATGTGTATGCATATAGTTTTATAAGAGATTTCTCAATACAATGTCAAAGATATAGCCTTTATTAGTGCAGAGAAAGAGTGACTAGTATGCATGTTTATAAAAGCAAGGAAAACAAGAAAGTTAAAGATAGAAAGCAAATTAATTTACATGGAATAGGAAAAAATATTGAAAGCACTAGGATTAAAATTTTTTACAGGTTTGGGAAAAAAGTTAAATTACTGAAACAAGCTGGATTTTCAAAATACAAAAATTCTCAATGACAAAGATTAAAGTAAAAAAAAACCCACTGCATTTAGTCAGCACAGTACATAAGACAATTTAGAATTAAGAATTCTATTTATAATTTTTACATACCAGTTCTTCTGTGCTTTGGTTATTACATGCCAGTTCTGTGTCCATTGGAATATCATTAGGCTCATTGTCCAAATTTTGCTTCTCTACAACAGATGCATTAGCCACACTGAAGATTCCATGGATATTAACTCGCACTTTAACTTTAACTTTTGAATTATCACCATCGTTTTGGGGACCAACATTTTGAATAACAAAATGGCCTAAACAACACAGCAATATGGCACTGGTTAGTACACTTATTTATATCAAACATATTACAAAACATTTATAAACTTATACATCACTTATATTTTTTAATGATGGTTTGAATTATGATACCTCAGACTGTGGCCTCACCCCGTCATGTGATTGCAAGTTGGATACTTGGCAATTGGCTACATTTACAACGGTTCAGCATCTTGCAGTCACAGAATTGTAACCTTTCCAGGCAGCTTCTGAGAAGCAAAGCCAATTGGGGAAGCCAGAATTACTTAATGACCACATGATTTGCTTAATGACTGCTGGGATTTGTTTAACCACAATGGTAAAAATAGTAAAAAAAAAAATCAGTTCTGGTCACATGATCAATTACTTAACAATCACATTGCTTGATGACCAAAATTCCGGTCCCAATTATGATTGTAAGGTGAGGATACCTGTATGCATGGATCTTTGATGGGCAACTTCCTCAAATGGCTGCTACTGCAGCTATGACTGAAAACTGTAAGCTGCCTAGTCACCTTGGTAAGAAGGGTGGGCACAGAAGATAGATAGATAGATAGATAGATAGATAGATAGATAGATAGATAGATAGATAGATAGATAGATAGATAGATAGATAGATAGATAGATAGATAGATAAAAAAGGCAGTTAGACATTTTTTCCATTAAGAATAAAAGAGGCAATGCAAAACGGTTACAGTTTTGCAAATTAGGATGTTACTCAACATTTTTTTAAAAGTTACACATATATATCCCTATAGAAGCATTCTGGAAGATATACTTTAGTACTGATTATCTATAGGTATTATATTAATGTCATTGGTTTATCCAGTAATGTCCATATGGTATCCACCACTGAAACATTATGTCCTCAGTCCTCCCAAGACTACATATTTTCAAGGTACAAGAAAATAAGCAAGGAAAAGTTCCAGAAATGATGAAGTTTGTTTAAAGCCCCTCATGAATTTGCATCCTCTTGACTAGCAAAAGGTAGATCACCTTATTCTTTTTAACTGCATAATAAAGTTTTTTGTTATGTTAACTTGCAATTTGTTTACAGAGCTTTTACACATATCAATAAAAAATTACATTAGGTGGAGTAGGAAAAAAATGTCTGCATGTTCTTGGAAAATTGAATGATGATGAAATTTACAGATTAAAAACAAAATTTAAAAAAGATTATAAGAATGAACATTGGACTGCAAGTTACCTGTATGTTATAAATGAATTATAATTCATTTATGTAAGACAATACATCTTTTTTTAACCAAGAAAAGTCTCTTCTTTGTTCTTATCATATTTGTTACGAGTGGGAAATATATGGTCCACTTGATATTCCCAAACTGTGAGGTGGGAATAGACGTAATCCAGGGGAGGTGTGAACCTTTTAGCACATTGTGATAATAAATTCATCTTTACCAAAGTTTCAGTGTACAGGCAATTATTCAAAGTTTGATGACTGTTACCTATGACCATTGTGTTGTCACAGCACCCCCCTGTCACGTGATCACAATTTGGGCACTTGGAAGCTGGCTTGCACTCCCAATGCTTGCAGTACACTGTGTTCATATGAATGCCATTGCCAACCTTCCCTGCCAGCTTTCCACAAGCAAAGTCAGTGGGAAATCCAGTAGGTAATCACAACTTGTTCCCATAAGTTATTCTTGCTGTGCTTTCTCCCGCTACAGAGTACAAGATCCAAGGGATCTCACAGTTCAGAGTGCTCACTTACCTGCAACATGCTCCATCCCATGATCTGTAATGCATGCACTCAACTATATTTGCATAGTGCTATAGCACCCCCTTCCCATGCCTGCTCAATGTCAGGGAGAATGCTGTTTCAAAGAATGTAGCAAGTAAAAAGGTCCATCTCTGATGTCCCAATAATCAATTCTGAGGTCTTAATAATGTTATTGAATTGGCACAATTAAGGAGGTATTCCTGAAGATATCCAGGTTATGCAGCATGAAAAGCTTTAATGTGACAACTAGCATCTTGAATTGTACCCAAAACTAACAGGTATCAATGAAATATGGGCAGATTATAATATACTTGAACTATACTTCAAGTATGTATAATATATTTACTAACTGAAACAGTTGCATGATTTAGCTTCCAAGTGGTCTTCACAGAGTATCATGCAGATCATATTGTAATACCAAATGAGAGATAACGAAGACAGGTCGGAATATTCCATAGAAAGTGGTAACTGTTACACCAGATAAAGTTGTTCAAAAGCTCTCCTTGCTACAGTTGTAACCTACTCCTCAAGCAGGAGCTGAGCACCAAGGTTCTAAGCTATGTGCCAATTTAGCACAGGGAAAAATGATTCCATCGGGAGCTAAATAATATCTCTGGATTTAAGCAGTTTCCTCCTCTGAAAACACAATCTTTTGCTGAGATTGATACTAAGTGTCATGTGTCTGAGTAACGAAACACTTAAAAGTACTTTCAGGCATGTTTTCTCCTAAAAGCATTTATTAAGATTACAATACGTCAGCACAGCATGGTGGAATGCTTAGATCTGCTTCTCTTCCGTTAGGCATAACATTCCAACCATTTTCCACTCCCTTATTTTAGGGTCATGGTTCACATCTTCCAATCAACTTGGAAGATGTGATTTACTTCCGGTTTCTTTCTCCCGGGCTATCCTTATGCTCTTCCCCCTTTCCTGGTTTGCTGGTTTAACTATATAAATACCAGACAGTTCTGCACATTGTCAAAGCAAGAATATACAGTATTTGCAGCGTTGACACTAAGCTTGTTCTCCCCATTCTAATAACCTCCTGAGAAGACGTTTGACAGCATCCTCTGTTTGTATTGCGAGTTAAGATATAAAACTGGCTAACATTAGAATATTACTTACACCTACTCTTCTACTAAAATGTTATGCACCCTAAAGATTTCATGCAGATGTTGAGAAGGAGTGGAGAGTGTTGAGGTTTCTGTACCCAATATTCAAGAGGTCTGACATTGCTCTCTTGACTACTATATGGAACTGCTCCATCAGGAGAACTACAAAACAGTGTATCCACTCCTAACACTTGGAAACAGTCAAGGAGAATAGCATGATTAATAGTATCAAAAGTTATTAAGAGGTCAAGGAGTCATACTCCTAAGGTCATCAACTTAGAGATAGTACTCAGTACCAAGCCCAGCCCTAAAATCTAATTGAAAACAGTAGAGAATAATCAGTTTCCTCCAATGCTCTATGCAACAGCATCCTATCATTTCTCTGTAACATTCTCCCGAAAGGGGAGATAAGGAACATATAAACATTTGCCCAGCACTGTTGAGTTCAGCAATGGTTTCTTGTACAGGAGAAGTACCACTCATTTAAAGCAGGCAGCGTTTTTCCTTGACTCATTCACTGACCCCCAATCCAGTTGTTACTTCACTGAAGGTTCTCATCGATCAGGAAGGGCACGGATCTAGATTACAGTTGGCCAAGCTGGCACACAGATCTATGTTCAGTACAAACTCATCCCAGATAACATCACAAGACTTAACTGAATAACTCAGCTGGCATCCAACTCTAAATGGATCTGGAGGAAGCCTTCATCCTTCAGATGCCTAGAATATTCCTCATGACAATCCTGTAACAGTTTTCCAGTCCATCCTTTTCAAGCAGGTTCTTGGTTGCTGGTAAAGGTTTGAATATGTGCTACAATTCAGACTAATTGTTTATTTCCCACGAGTGGCGCTCTTCTGCCATTTCATCTTTGGAACTCCTTAATACACTGAGGACTTTCCTTGGATCAGTGGCCAAGGGGAAAAAATTCAGGGGAAACCCTACCCAAACTTGTAACCACTCTCTAATTCCAGGATGCCTCACAAAATTCCAAAGGTGTCTTCTGAGACCTGAGTGGTTCCATCAGAAGCCTGATATTTACATACATTTGCATATTTGTGTTTATGTTGTCATAGACTGAAATAAAGTGACCATATTTATTTGTTTAATATCAACAGCAGCCTACTAAAATTACCCTATAAAAATATCTATAAATCACTTCCATTGTTTTTATATATGCAGTCATCAGAAGATAAAATCAAATATCTATTTAATTAAACCGTATTGAACAGATCTGGGTCATTAACAGTTATACAATAAGCTAATTATCTAAAACTATACCTATCCACTTATATCTGGGCAACATGAAGCCCTTATTGTCACTAGACCACATTTGAGCATATGGGCAAAGACAAATGACTACCACCCTCTTGCTCAGTTCCTAGCAGGCCAAAATCCCAGGAACTGCACTACATAAAAAAATTTTGTGGATCTATAAAAATCAATTAAGAATTATCTGTTACTCTGACCGGTAATTAGCAACCACATCCATTTCAGAATGTGTTCTATTTCTTGCACAAGTGTATCATATAATAGGAAAGCTATACTTTAAAATAAAATCAAGATAACTGATTGTTTAACACAGTGGTAAGTAATAACAGAAGTAGCACAAAATCATTTTCAGTTTATCTCCATCCTAGGTTAGGATAATCAATGGTTAGTGGACTTTCTTTGAAGTGAGTTTGTAATATGTTGATCTATGTGGTTTGCTATTGTCCTTTTCCCCAGGATAGTTTTCCAACCTGTTAGTCTAGCTTAGAGCTCTAACATTCTTCTGTGGCCTTCCATCCAAATTTTAAATGGCCTGACCCAATCTAAGCTTCTAGATTCAACCACATTTATCCAAATGAGCGATGTAAATATAATTCAAATCTAAAATGCTTTGAAAGGATCAGTTTGATATAACAGTTATGTCACCAGGCTAGATATTGGAAAACTGAGCTTTAGTCCTATCTTAGGCACTATCTATCTGAGTGTCTTTGAGCATCTGACTCTCTCTCAACCTTAGAAAAAAGGCAACAACAAACCAATTTCAAAATCTTGCCACGAAAACCGCAAAAAAATGTCCAGGCAGTTGCTAGGAATCAATAGTGATTGTTTCAATCTTGTTGGAAATACTCCAGCCATTGCCTAAGCAGATGTTAAGAGCTGAAAACACAGCTGCTTAGTTGAATTGTGTCAGTACGGGCACAACAGGATACTCTGAATCCAAAATATTTTGTACACCTATAATTCACAACAGCTGAGTAAAAGAGAATACAGGTAGTCCTTAGTTAATGACAATAATTGGAACCGGAATTTACATTGCTAACAATATGTTTGTAAGGTGTAACTTGATATGTGCCACTTGGTGATAGCAAGCCCTAGTTACTAATAAGCGACACATGCAGAAAAGTACAAATATATTAAAAAAAACAAAAAACAAAGAGCACTCTCCACAGAAAACAAGGCATTAGTAATCAAAACAGTTGTTTTATAAATCTATTAAGTGAAGATTCTCATAATTTGAAACAAATCTTTAAAAAGTTTTTTTGTTATCATGCTCAACCAGTAACAAAAACATTTACCTATTCTTGTATCAGGATAAGGAACATCATGAGGATGTGTATAAAATGCTTCCAGTTCAAAAGGCTCTTTTTTGTGGAAAGTAATAACTTTTGAGAATGGAGAAGCATGATTTTTGCTGAAGACTTCACATTCACTGTAGAAAAAAAGAGTGCTTATAATTAAAAAGAACAAATAATGAGAATAGGAAAGCAGTCACAATATATCTTGTGATACTAATTACCTGAAGCCTGAATTAAAGATTTAAATCTTAAAACCATCGATTACTTTCATATTATCATTATGTATAGTCAATAATTCATAATAAACCATCCATTATGAATCTTAGATATTTTTACAAAACTAAGAATTTTGAGGAAGTTACATAGCAGAACATTCAATATTAATTTAGAGGAACATTCATTCAGGGAAAAATGATCCTGCATGTAGTCAATATATAACATGCTGAGGAAATCTACGTTTATAACTGTTACCTTTAAAGATAAGCTAGGATATGTACAACTCAAGACTTAGACATCTAACACTTCAATCTATAGGAAGATGAGAGGAATTCATTTAAAAATTAACTGCAGAATGGTCTTCACTTGCAAGTCTTTGCAATTAACAAGCAGTGTGCATGTGCACGGACACATACATGCACTTACACAGAGATGAGGGGGAGGGGAGAGAAATGTTTACTATAATGTGCTGTATCAGTCTTTTAAAAGCTGCAGTTCAACAATGGGGTCTCCTTCATAGACATATTGTGTTTTCCTCCAGTGTTTGAGTTGGCAAAACTATATAGTGGCATTCTATGCATTATAACAATGACAGAACTCTGCCTAAGTGATGAGTTCAGTGACTAGTGCAGTCTGTACAGTTTTAATATGAGATAATTTAAGGGTAATAATAACTTAACAATATTGATTGGAGAATTCCCCTACCATGGAATTTTCCCTTCATGCTAGAGTCACTTGCTGGTAAGAAAAACAATTATTGCTGTCCTTATTGTATGATAGAGCAGGCTTGGACAACTGTTGCATGTAACAGAGACAAATGATAGACTATAGCCATCTTTCAAGCTGATGGTTCCCTGGTGTGGAAATTTTACATACTGCTGACCAACTACTAAGTACCAGAAGGAAAGGACAATTCCAGCAGCAAGTGCTAATGGCTAGAAATAGCCTGTGAAGTATGTGTAAATAGCACTGGAATAGGCAAAATAGCACCCATCCCTTAAGGAAGAAAAAGTATAGACACACATCAGAAAAGCAGCAGAAAATCTATATTCACACTTGTCCATATGGCCAGACTGAGCTAGATTTACCTTCAAAAAGAGGTGCATTGGGGATGAACTGAAGACAATGAGGCTACATAAACTAGTTAGCAAAGTACATGGCAGAGTTAGTAAGACATGAGGATAAATCCAATACATTCCCTTAGTTCTCTCACATCTCTAGAATAGCCAGGGAAAGAGGAGAGGTATTGATGAAATGATCAGGTGGGGATGTTGTTCTTGGTGTCACAGGCAGCATTTCTCCTCCTCCAAACATGGCGAGTTGAGTTGATGCCAAAGAGCTGAATTTTGGTCTCAGCTGACCACAACACTTTCACCCAGTTCTCCTCTGAATCATTCAGATGTTCATTGGCAAACTTCAGATGGGCCTGTACATGTGCTTTCTTGAGCAGGGGGATCTTGTGGGCGCTGCAGGATTTCAGTCCTTCATGGTGTAGTGTGTTACCAATTGTTTTCTTGGTGACTATGGTCCCAGCTGCCTTGAGATCATTGACAAGATCCTCCCGTGTTGTTCTGGGCTGATTCCTCATCAGTTCTCGTGATCATTGAAACTCCACGAGATGAGATCTTGCTTGGAGCCCCAGACCAAGGGAGACTGACAGTTATTTTGTATTTCTTCCATTTGCAAATAATCGCACCAGTTGTTGTCACCTTCTCCCCAAGCTGCTTGGCGATAGTCTTGTAGCCCATTCCAGCCTTCTGTAGGTCTACAATCTTTTCCCTAACATCCTTGGACAGCTCTTTGGTCTTGGCCATGGTGGGGAGTTTGGAATCTGATTGATTGATTGATTGCTTTTGTGGACAGGTGTCTTTTATACAGGTAACAAGCTGAGATTAGGAGCACTCCCTTTAAGAGAGTGCTCCTAATCTCAGCTCATTACCTGTATAAAAGACCCCTGGGAGCAGAAATCTTGCTGATTGATAGAGAATCAAATATTTATTTCACTCATTAAAATGCAAATCAATTTATAACTTTTTTGAAATGCGTTTTTCTGGATTTTGTTGTTGTTCTGTCTCTCATTTTAAAATAAGCCTACCATTAAAATTATAGACTAATCATTTCTTTGTCAGTGGGCAAATGTACAAAATCAGCAGGGGATCAAATACTTTTTTTCCTCACTGTAAACATTAAAGTTCATGACAGTACAATTAGAAGAATACTAAGCAAGTATAGTTTGTTTCTGGAATATTGTCCTTTGGACAGAGGAGACTAAAGTGAGATGTCCGGTCATAATGCCATGTCTGGTGAACCAAACACAGCATATCAGCACAAACATCTCATACCAACCATCAACCACAGTGGTGGAGGGGTGATCTGAATTGAAAAAGTGGGCTTGTTGAACTGAAAAAAGCCCTCTTGTTATAAACAAGAGTGGGCCAAAATTCCTCCACAACAATGTGAAAGACTGAGAAGTCATAAAGAAAATGATTACTTCAAATTATTGCTGCTAAAGGTGGTTCTACAAGTTATTGAATCTTCATTTTGGCTTTCTTTTTGTAAAATCATATCATCATGATTAAAATAAATGATGACATGATGACATAAATGATGACATGATGTAATATGTCATGTGTGGTTGTTCATTTGAGCTTGCATTACCTACTCTTAAGAATTTCTAAGGACCAGATGGATTTTACTATGTCCTGATATGTAACACCATAAAACTCAAAGAGCATGTACTTTCTTTTTTTCACATCTGTATCTTTCTGAAAACTTAGAATAAACACAGTTAAGCTTCAAAATTATTCTATCCCAATGCACAATAGTTATATGAGCATGAATTTCATATTCATAGAAAAGATGAAATGAGAACGCCTTATTTTTGCCTAAATGAATGTTGGAAATGCTCACTAAAAGAAAAGAGAGAAGAATGCTTACCACAATTATGAATACCAAAAAAATTGTGGGACTCTCTCTCCAGAAACATGAAGAATTGTATTTCTTTACAAAATAAAGAAATTATGTAATAGTTTTTCCATGGTTAAATCAGTGGACTTGTTTATAAGTCATCCAAATAATATACCTGTACAAAGTTAACAAATGGCAAATCTAACCTATTTTTGTTTATAGATATACTATCTACTTAATTCTTTCATATTTTTAAATCTCAAAACTCTTACCCTGTTCCTTCCTCATAAGATGATTGCCACCTCAGAGTAATTGAGTAAGGAACAACATCTGTGATGGAAAATTCACGGACTTTAAATGCTGGGGACAGAATTGCACACTAGAAAAGAAATGGAGTATCACTCACACGTGTCTGGTACACATTTATTTATGAGGTACTACTCAACTACATTTTAACTTCACAATTATAAAGCCTAAGAAAATTTATTGTAGCAAAATCAATGTTCTTAGAGACAACTAGTAACTTTTTTTTGTGACCAGAAAAATCATACAAGAGATGCAACATTGCTCACAAACAGAGCTCAGTTGTTTCAGAGAACAGATTCAGGATTAGTCAAAATGATTAATTAAAAATACAAAAAGGTTAAAATCTGTTAAATTAGTTAAGTAGCTGTGTTACCTTCAACACCTTAATGTGAAGATTAATGTAATTATAGCATGCTTCTTTTGATAAATTTGCATGGCCAAAGAAATTTAAATAGTAATACTGAACAGAAAAACAATTAACACACCTGTAATGCACAACCCCTTGCAACAGCTTCATCTGCATTTAATGTAGTACTTATCTCTTTACATAAAAATTTGCAAATCTGTTCTTTCACAGCTGGAATACGAGTTGCTCCACCTACTATTTCTACACTGTAAATATCTTCACGCTGTAGTTCTAGGAGACAAACAGGAGATTATTTGTTTTTATGGATGAGAAATATAATCAGTTTTAGACAGAATGGATTCACTTGGTGGAAAGACTGCAAGAATGGAAGAAGTTTCTTTACCATACATTGGTATATCTCTTCTGTTAACATTAAAACCTAATCTTCTTTTCTGAATACATGTGGAAATTTTGTTTTAAAAATGTACTTACCATTCTTATAGGTAATAGGGCTCTAAATGTAAGTATTAAATAAACATTTCAAAATAACACAGTGAGAAATTAATGCCACATATAACATAGGAAGCTAGCTGCTAGGTCCCAGAACCTAGCAGAAGTGAATACATAATTTAAATAAATAACAAAATTAAGTATGGTATAGTGCAGGGGTCAGCAACCTTAAACACTCAAAGAGCCACTTGGCATGCCACAGACCGGTGCTGGTCCCTGGTTGGGGATCCCTGGTGTATAGTACTAAATTGGCAGTGAGGATTAGCAGCTGGCAAAAGGCTATTTGATCTGTTCAATTTCATTAAAAAAGACTAAAAGACTCCCCAAAAATAGTTTATATGCCTTCCTTTGCTCTCTAAAGGAGTAATTAAATGGAAGGTAAGCAGATATATTGAATAAACTTGTCTCTAATACTAACTTTTGTTTTTCAGCCACAGATGCTAAGTTCTTAGGATTTCTTATGTTCAGGTTGCAAATGTTCATGTTTTCAAACCAAAACTGATATCCAGTAAAAGAAAAATCTAAGAAGGTTTATGAGAACCCCAACTTCTGTAGAAATGGGCATATTTTAACAAAAATAAAGCAACTCTACGATGGAGCCTCAAAACAGTTTCATAGAAGAAAAATATGTTCAGTGGCCATGAAATGCTCAGTGGTTGTTTGAGCAAAATGAAGACTGTAATGAAACTAGAATCCTAAAAAAGAAGCATTTCACACTGCAACATTTTAATGCAATTCACTTGTTTTGATCTACTTTGATTTCTACTTCTATTATGATTACTATTGGAATAGAAAAAAAAATAAAGAACTTATGAGAAAATGCTTCTTCATCCAGATAGCCTACACTTAAACAATTATCAATGGAAAAAAGAACCATCTGTATATTAAATGTGCTTTGTGGCCATCTGGAAACTGGATACACAGATGTCCTATACCAGTGATGGCAAACCTTTTAGAGACTGCCCAAACTGCAACCCAAAACCCATTTATGCATCGTCGAGTGTTGGGTGGGTGTGGCCCATTGGCTGGATATGGCCCATTGGGTGGGTATGGCCCATTGGGTGGGCGTGGCTGCGATGGTAACGGTAGACTGGGTGGGACTAAAAAGTTCAATCAATCAATTCCAACTTTGCAAGATCTTTTTTTTCCCCGCAAGAAGTTGAAATTGACTGATTGAACCTTTTTTTTTTTTTTGCACACGGCGGCGGAGGCCTAAAGTGAAAAAGTCTTATAAAACCCAGCTGAAGGCCTAGAACTAGGGCGACAGCGCGCGTGCCCACAGAGAGGGCTCTGAGTGCCACCTCTGGCACCTGTGCCATAGGTTCGCCACCACTGTCCTATACCGAACTTATACAGTATAACCAGAAATTAAAGCAATGTGCTCTGCTGGTACATGGTACATTAAGTGATGGCCCAATACAGATAGTGAGAACTGCCATTCAACAAATGAACTATAGTAAACTAGTGACTATTCAAGTTTAAAATATAAAGCAGTTTTCTTTTTTCTTAGTTTTGATTGTTTTCATTTGTTTTCATCCTCTACTGTAGATTTTGTGCCAGCTACATGACTACACTATCCTAATCTCTGCAATGTCTATGAATCCCAAGGACCTGTTACCTAATTCTAAGACTCTTTTCTTGCAACTCATGATTTTGATGGCTTATTCAATGTTAGATTTGAATCTGTAGGTGTGCAGTCTAGCTCTCCTTTCCCAATCTTCTATCGAATTTTCCTTCCAGCACATTTTCTATTCTTTCCAAATCAACAGAGTATTGAAACAAAATTATATGGGTTAGGACTCTGTCAGTCTGCTTGTCTGTTAGCATGATAATAGTCTAAAAACTAAATACAACAGGATCAAATTTGGTATGAAGAACTGAAAAATAGAAAGATCAAGTTCAAAAATAGGCTGGATCAGACCAGGAACTAGAGCATAAAAAAAAAATCCACATTTTTTTCCCTTATGGAAGAGGCAATTGGGCAGCTGCTCAACATATTACCAATCCCTGCAGTCTTAGAACCCTTCCTCCCTCTTTGTCACGTGACACAGAGCAAAACTATTACTCACGGATAAAAAATTCTAGAAGCCACATTTGCATGTTTTCCCTAATTTGTTTGCTTTCTTGCCTATTAGAGTGGATGCCATTTTTCTATCTAGATAATTATTTTCTTCCCTCTTCTTAGCTTCTTTTCTGTACTTGATAAAATCACACATACCCAACTTTATAATACCAAAATATTATTTTTCAATTTTTATAGACATTAAATAATTGAAGAATATTCAATGTGATAGGCATGACCTACAGTAGCAAGAAGTCTTTATATTAAATACTGTATAATGTTGCAGCATTTACTTACTAGCTTGTTCCATCACTGCTCTCAAAGGAGGTTCTACTCTGGCCAGAAGAGATGCACACAGTTGTTCAAACTGAGCCCTATTTTGAGAAATGAATATTAAATATTTCAGGCATATAAATTGTTATCTCATAATTCCCACTTTATACATTGAATATGATACCTGTTCATTTTGCTAGAGACATCAACGTCATTCATAAAGCATTCTATGTTTACTGGAAGATCAGAAGTATTTGCACTCATCAGCTTCTTCAGTTTTTCACACTCCTGGTATAATCGTAGCAATGCTCGACCATTGTCCTTAACATTAAGTTTATATTTGAGCCTGAACTCTTCGCAGAAATGATCTACCAAAGCATCATCAAAGTTTCTACCGCCCAAAAAGGGATCAAATGTAGTAGCAAGTACCTATGAAATTAAACACAATAAGAATGGTAAAAGCAATAAAGAAAAAAGTCTTAATGCAGTGTCCGTGCATGAATCATCATCATCATCATTATTAATCTTCAGTTTGATTCACAGTCTGGGACTGATAAAAACTTAACAGTTCAAGTCCTAACCAAGGATCTAAGAGCTGTTAAGGCAGGGGTGTCAAACTCAATTTCATTGAGGGCCGCATTAGCATTGCAGTTGCCCTGGGGGGGGCAAGTGGGTGTGGCCAGAGTGGGTGCAGCCTACTGGGTGGGCGATGGAGTGGGTGTGGCCTACTGGGTGGGCGTGCCCAGTTCTATATCATTCACGTCAAGGGTGCCTATGGGGGCCTGGGCAGGAGTGGGACAGATCTGAGGGTCTCTGGCAGAAGGGGGTGGGACCGGGGCAAGTGCCAAGATGGCCACCACAAAATTGTACATTGGCTCCTGGCTGGCCTGGGCCAGGGCCAAGGCAACGGAGGCCGTTCCCTCACTGTTTCCAGGATGGTTTCGCGGGCCACATGAAACCCCTTTGCGGGCCGCATCTGGTCCCCAGGCCTTGTGTTTGACATGTCTGTGTTAAGGCAATGTCTGAGTATATAGGCAATTCCGAGTAAGGTGGTTTTTTGCAAAGTCAGGATATTCAAGTCTAATAAGTTCAAAATGTCCATGTATCTATCTAGGTAGCCCTTTAAGTATTGCTTCAAAGGCTCCTATTACTTGGTACAACCATTGATTTCTTCCTCCATAACCCTCAACTTCAATTTGCAAATCACAATATTTTGTTATTTTTTCTAGCTGTTTCTATTCAATTCTGGTATTGCAATATGAATGAACCAGACTTTTTTCTTTTCCACAATAGTGATATCAGGTGTGTTGTGGGCCATATGTCTGCTTGGATCCAAAAGTCCCACAGGATCTTGACTTAGTCATTTTCAAGAACTTTGTTGTTGTTATTATATCAGAAAAAGTTTCAAGCACAGCTATGAAGCAATGTAGGTTTTTTTTCCTGGTATGTTATTGCTCATATTTATTTTGGAATTGAGCTTATTCGTTATCCTGTTTTATCTTTCTTATTTATATGTTGCTTCAACAATTTACCTTCAATTTTCCTTTGTTAAAAGCACAAACAGAAATCTGGTAGGCAGAATGTCCCATGTCTACAAAAACCACATTCCTTGGTCTCTCCTCTGGGGCTGGTAGATCCTGTTTATAAATTCCATAGGCTAAAGCAACTGCAAGAATTAAAGAGTAAATTCTATGAAGTAGAAAAGCTTTAAAAATTAGCTTCAAAATACTGGCTGCACTATAACTAGTTATGTGCAAAACTATTATTCTGACTACTTTTGGAACATAACAAACCAATCTGATATACTGAAATTTCATATGCTTGGAAAAAATGGAATGGGGATCACTGAAATATTTCAAGATGGAACAGAGTTCTTTTTATATTGTCAAATTATAAGCTATTCCAAAACATTCATTTCTCTTATGTTCTAATGATATTCATTACAAACTCACTGAAATTACTTATAGTTAAAAATGGCATAATTTGAAGAATTTGCCTTACTCATAAAACTTAAACACTTTTCCTCTTGCAATCTTTCTTTATAAAAATGGCGAGGAAACAACAGTGCACATATTTAAATCAAATAATTTGTGGTACATTATTAATATCTCATTTAGTTACACAAATAAAGCCAATTTTCTATCTTGGAGTCAAAAGCAATATGAATATTTGTTTATTAAATGCTATCCTAGAAATATTATGGTATTAGTCATATTGAATTTATTGTGGTGGATAGATTTCTGAATAGATATGCATTAATGTTGCTCCAAGAATTTACAATACTTATTTTAGTAGAAACCACTCATACTGGACAACAGTTTATTTGTGAGTAAGGTAACTCAGTATTTAGTTGTATACTGTATAATCTTACTAGATTGTTATGTAATATACTTTGACTCTGATTTGAATTTGATTAAAAAGCAAAACTGCTATAACAAGTAAAATATAAATTTACCTGCTGTAGTTTCATTCATTAATCTCAAGCAATTTAAACCTGCCACTTGCACTGCTGCTATAACAGACCTTCTCTCGGCATCAGTAAAAAAGCTTGGGATCTGTAGGAAAATGTTTTCTATTAGATTAATTTCACCATATTCATCTTTCTAATGAGTTTTAATTTGGAATAATTTTATGGCTCTATGAGGCCCTGAATCAAATTAGATCGCAATGCTGCAGAAAGACATATATTCTGCCTGTACATGTTTCCTATTTTCAACTTTTGCTTTTTCACAAAATGCCAGGTTGGGAAGAGAAAGGGACCTGAGTAGCAGTCAACGTTTCAATATCAAAAAATGGTTCATGGATAGCCCTGTACATATATAGTTAGTTGCCAAGTATCAGAATTTTGATCATGTGATCATGGGGATGCTGCAACGGTAGCAAATGTGAAAAATGGTGATAAGCCAGTTTTTTCAGAGCCATTGTAACGTTGAACTGTCACTAAATAAACTGTTATGAATCAAGGATTACCTGTAATGCCTGAAACAAGCCCTCTACCTGCAACAAATGTAAGCTGATAACTAATTAAGCAACTTAGGTTAACTTAATGTATTATATAGTAATTAGGTTTCTTGCAAAATAATGTTATCAACAATATATGTGAGTTTCACGATGTGCTGGGCACAAAACAATGAGGGAGAGGGGACAATGTGAATTATTTCAGCACATGTGATCAACATCCTAAACCTATATGTCTGAATTTGGACAGACTTCAGCTTATCAAGTGTCTACTATGTATGCAACTGTTTACTGTTTACACATTTCTGCAAGCATTGTCAGTAACTGAGAAATCAGAAAAGAATATTCTAGAAAACAAAACTTTATTATCTTATAATTTAATATTGTGAGCTGCCCAGAGTTGTGAGATGAGTGGCAAACAAACCAAATTAAATAAATAATAGGACTGTCTTGCCAGGAACATGTTATAATCTAATCATTCCAAATGTCATATAACATTATTATTTTGTAAGTATCTATATCATTATAAAAACTTACGGAAATGACACAATCTGCTACAGGCTTTTTAAGTGCATTTTCTGATGTCTCCTTAAGCTTAACTAATAGCATACCAGTAACTTGTTCAATAGCAAATAATCTCTCTTCATCCAAATATCGTACCTAGAGTTTAAAAAACACCTAAATTAATAACGAACTAGAATACATAGTAGGCACTCATGTTGACAGAGATGTAACACTTGTTTTATTTTTTCCATCAGCAAACTCTATTTAGTGAGATACTGTACGTTAGAACAGGGGTCTCCAACTCTCAGGTGTGGCCCACTACCAGACCTTGGCCTGTTCAGAACCGGGCCACGGAAGCAATGGGTGAGCATGTGCAAATGGAGCTGTGCATGCATTCACACGCTACTCATGCATAACCATTCCCTCTCCCTCTCCCCCTTGATAGTCCACAAAGCTGAAAAGGTTGGGAAATGCTGTTAGGACCAGATCTTAACATTTATTGTTCTGTATATTCTGATAGTAGGCATCAAAAGAGAAGGTACCATGCTCACCTTCACTCCTACACTCCCATTAGGTAATTTCTGAAGCTCATATGGCACTTTTTCTTTCTCAGACTTTATAAAGGGATCATTAAATGCTCTTCCATGCAGCTTTTTAAATCCATGTAACGTATTCTTAATATTTGTAATAATCTGTCAAATAATATTAAGGTATTAATTTTGCATGCTCATATTAAAATTCCTTTCATCTTACAGTTTTTCAATACTTTTATTAATTTAATAGTAGTAAAAATATTCCATTCTTATTATGCATTTCTAATTCCTTAGTATTGTAAATAAAATTTTATTTTGTTTTATGCAAGACATAAATACCTAAGTTCATAGTGTACACTGGTGGTAATACTATCAATGCTTTTGATTTAAAAGGAGTTTTGTGAATAAATGTTTTGATAAAAAGAACTGCTGCTGAATAAAATGATAACTTTTACTGAAATAATTATAAACTTATGTTTACCTGGCTTTTTGCTGCATTTCCAATAGTCCGGGCTTTGGATCCCAAAGATATACAAGCTCTGAAATACAACAGATACTCTATAAATGTGCATGAAGAAATCAAATTGTTACCTATAGGGCTGTGAAAGACTCATCAATCTGAAAACAGAACAAAGGAGTTTGAAATTCCGGTATATATTAAGCATAGATATATATAAATTTCAGTCATGTGAACTAGACTGGGAGGTTTGTCTACAGAAGTTGAGCTTGATTTAAAAAAATCAATATAAAACAAATACAATATTTAATAATGGAAAGTGGTGATGTAAAGGAAGAAGCTAATCTAAATCTACAGAGCAGAGAACCCAACCATGAATCATAAGCAGCCCCTTTGCAGAAGCAAATCTAATTTCACTAATATTTTTCCACCTTCAGAAAATAAAAAATGACAATACAGAAAGTAGAATTTTCAAGGATATATATGAAAATCAGCAATGTAAGTCATTGATAAGTAGCAATAGCAGTATCACTTAGACTTATTTACCACTTCATAGTACTTTACAGCCCTCTCTAAGCGGTTTACAGTCAGCATATTGACCCCAACAATCTGGGTTCTCATAAAATAAATGTTTTAACTGAATTAGATTTAAGGATAACCATGAATTATTGAATTTTAAAATGTTTGCAAATTATCCAAGATCCTAAAGTTCAAAGCAATAAGTTAAATTTTTATTATTTCTTTACAACACTGTAATCCCAGGAGCATAAAACAGCTATCAACCTCCACATGTAGCAAAATAGCATCTTCCCAGTAGTAAAGACTGATAAGGTTGAGCAAAAGATAAGTTATTTTGAAGTCCTGTTTGATTTTTGGAATACATACCAGTAGAACAAGATGAATTTAGGACTGATCCAACAAATACATAAATACATTCATTCATTCACTCTCTCTCATGCACACACAATCCATGTTTTTGCATACCCAATTCATTATCAGTTTTTGCTAAATCTAACTAAAGAAAATAATATCAGGAACATTTGGAATGACAAATACTGTTTTTCAAAGGAACAAAGAACACAAAACAAATAATTGTGTACTTTTGATTATATAAATTTTCGATTCTGCTAAATCTACAAAGAGATGTTGCCCATTTACACTCCTGGTTGTAACCCATGGAAACAGGGAAGTGTGAACAAGTTCTATCTACTCTACAATCATCTTACACATCATCTCTTCACAGGTACCACCCTCCATGCCTGAAAGTTAGGCAATAAAACAAGTAGTAACATGCCAGGCAAAAGGAAAAATGCTACAAGACAGAAAAGATGAAATACTGGGCAAACTTCTTTTACCCTATATATCTTCTCATGTAGCATGCTTATTTCAAAGGTTGAATCTGCAAAAATGGTGCATATTACTGTGACCTGAATTGCCCTCAACTATAATACTTTTAAGTGAAGAGACACGTTACAATTATTTTGAGATTCAGAAAAAAATGCCTTATCATGGAATTGTTTGCAAAAACTTAAAGCGCTTCTATTTCAATGCTACTTTGATGGATGGATAGAAAATGGCAATGGGCAAAAGTAAAAAAATAATGTGGGATTAGTAGATACCATAATCTTCAGAATAGGAGTTTTTGTCATAGTTTTTAATAGACCTACAATGTTTTAGATGTGTAATTCTCGTTTTTAAGATGAGAAATGAGACCAGCAGAACAAAATAACACAACAATGGATGTGTTTAAATAAATAAGAAAGAAATGTTTAAGTTGGCTTTTCTTATGAAGGCCAAAGCTCATGGTGAATTAGTTTCAAATCTATCAACTGAAATTTACTGCTAAACCCAAACTTATTAAAGTGAAAAGAAGAAAAATCTTTTTGGAAAAGAGATAAACCTTATTTCTTCAATCCAAAGCTGCCAAAACTCTTATTTGATTCAGAAACGAGATTTCTGGAAGTTGGAATTTTAACATATCTGGATGTCAGCACTGATAAGAACAGAAATCCAGCACTATGACATAGATTTTGTGTGAAAAATAGTGCCAAGAAAATTCCAGGCCTTTTTAAGACTTGATCAAGACAATTCTGGAAAAGTTAGTCTTTATCTCAATCTAACAATCTTCCACATTTGGTGATTATAAACCTGCTTGTAGCAGGACAGTTAAGAACGAGTTGGAGTTCAATACACCCAGCTAACTTAAAGCTGAGAAACGGTTAATTTGACAACACCGAACTCCCTTAGTACAGGATCCATGCTGACACATAGCAGCTTCTTTCCAAGTTTATACATGACAATGAGCCATGTTTTAGGATGTTGTGTGAACCCACCTACTATGGGTTTGTAAACTAGGATGACAGCTCATCATCCAGATAAGCTTTATAATTCTAACCGGCCTTTCCCCAACCTAATAATTTCCAGGTAGGCGGAGTAGCACCGGTCCAGGGGGGAAAGCTCCTTAAAAGGTTTCATGAGGCTAGCGGGGAAGGAGCCAACGGAAAGAGCACGAGCCGCCGTTAATCCCTCCGGAGAGGAGGCTGTTGCCCAAAGCGCGGTTGGAAGGCTGGGACTCACGGTGTGCAGCGGTCGCTGTACTCATTGGCGATGGTCTCGATGCCGCCCCTCCGCGCCACCGCGATGTAGCAGTTCTGAAAGCCCAGGTCGATGCCCACCACAGACATGACTGCGGCGGGTGCGGTCCGCTTTCTTCCTCAGCCCTCCCTCCGCGTTACCGCGGCGGGCCCTCGCGGGACAGCGCTCGCGGCGGGGAGACGGCACCTCGGCGAGTAGCTCGCTCGTTCTCTCACTGCGGAGCAACAACCGCCAACCGGCACTTTCTCTCCTCTGCGCAGGCGCGGCTGATTGCCATACGAGGACGCCGCGAAATTCCGACTTGAACTTCGGCAGTTTCCGCGGGTCCTCGGGTAGCCTCCCGGAGTTCGAGAAAGATCTGGAATCCGGGTGAGAAGAGTGCGAAAGAGGCTTGTCTCCGTCGCCCTCTAAGGGCCAAAGTCCGGAACTGCGGCTGCTGGCTTTTCGCCCTTGGAGGACCTCTTCTGGAGTACCGTCACGGAGGCCCAGAACAGGAGAAGCGCGGAATACGATTACGGGACAGTTTGCAGTTATATAGCCAAAAAATGATTAACATCCTATAAATATGTTACTTCCTTTGTATTTTACATCCCCGATTCCCGATTGAATAGAACCCAGGAAAGAAATATGAAATCAACATCAAAAGAATAGACTGTTCAAGAAGATGAACAGTACAGGTGTTAGAATAAGAAATAAAATATAAATAATTGGGATAGCTGCCCATCTTAAAATCAAACTGGGTGGCTCACAATCAAAAGAATAAAAAAAATATACAAAGAATAAAAACAGTACAAAGAATAAAAACAGTACAATGAAACAATTATCTTGTAAATGATGAGCATATACAAGACATCAGTACAGAATATGTACTGTGACCGATAATTATGTATTATCCAGTTGATATCAATTCTTAGTGACCACATAAATAGATTTTCTCCAGGGCAATCTGTCTTTTGCCTGATCTTTCAGATCTTCCAGTGGTGCATTGTAACTGAGTCAATCTGCTTTTCTGCTTGGTTGTCTTTCCTTTCCTTTCTCCTTTCTCAGCATTACAGTCTCCTCTAGGGAATACTATGTCTGAAATAGGATAATTTATGTTGGTGTGGGCCTCAAGCGAGAATTCTGGATTGATTTGTTTGATAGTCCCTCAGGGCTTTTTTGGGCTGTCCCCAATATTCTCAGGAGTGTTCCACCAACATCATATTTCAAAGATATCAATACTCTTCCTGAGCTTCTTCAAAGTTCAACTTTCGCGTCCATTGAGTGTCAATGGGAATACCATGGCTTGCAGTATTTTAATGTGTACTCTAGGTTTCCACAATTGGTGCAACTCTGCAATTGGTGCAAATTATTTTGCGAAAATACAATATTCTCCTATCAGCCATCTTTCCCTTGAGTAGTGGAGCAAATAGACTGGGGNACGTCGGCCAGCTCAGGCAGGGCTGTTGATACATAGCAGGGAGCCAGGTATATAATCAACAGACCCACTTGAACCCCTTGTCCCCATTTCACCAGGAGGGACTCCACACCGTCTATCTGAGGCACAGTGGTCTCCCTCGGACAAAGGCTCTCCTTTATAATGGCCGCTACCCCACCGCCCCTTCCCCGGGTCCTTGGCTTTCCTAAATGGAAATTGTTTTTGTATACAGGTAGTCTTTGACTTACAACCATTCATTTAATGAAGTTGCAATAGCCTTGGAAAAAGTGACTTATGACCCATCCTCAAAGTTAGGATTGTCACTCCCCCCCCCCCACTTGCTTACAATTTGGACTCTTGGCAACCAGTTCACATTTATAAACATAGAAAACTGATGGTAAAAAAGACCCAGTGGTACATCGAGTCTATTCTTTGAGTTTTTGTTTTTGTTTTAATTATTTTTAATTATTATTTTGATTTTATTACTTATTTTTAATTTTTGTTGGATGGTAGACATGCATTTATACCAAGCATGTTTAAACTCAGGTACAGTTGACTAACTCTCTATCTCTGCTGGAAGTAAATTCCAAGCTTCCATTACTCTTTCTGTGAAGTAATACTTTCTAATTGTCAAGGATGAAACTTGGATCCTAGAGTTTTATTTGGATTCTCGAGCTGGATGTTGACACTGTTACTTTTGAACTTCCCTCCTGTCAGTTTGAAGTTATGCTTCCATGTTCTTGAACCACATTCATTTAACAACTGTAGCAAAAATTATTGTAAAATTGAGTGTGATTCACTTAACAGCAGCTTCACTTAGGAACAGAAATTCTGATCCCAATTGTTATAATTTGAAGACTACCTGCATTTGGCTCTGAATCCAACTTTTGATTTATTTAAAGTGCTAATTCTTTGTATTGCTAGTTCAAGTTTGCAATATTTTCATATTCAATTAAATCTACATTGTCTGGATTGTTTGTTCAATTGTGTTGTGTAAGATATCCAACATCAGAAGAAATGTTGCCTCTTCCTAAATGAATACATATACCCTAAGAATGATGCTACTTGGAGGAGTCAAGGTTTAGTCAAAATCTTAATCTTAATCCAGAAAAAGGTGGACCTTAGAGAGACATATACCAATTGAACATACATCATTTTGGACCCTTGCACTCCAACCTGTGTTTACTAGGAAATAAGCTCTTATTTACTGGGGCTATCACTTCTGAGCCACAACGAGATATAGCAAATTCTATCTAATTTTTTGCTGCCCTTCGCAAATTATTCAACATCTGGATTTCTATAGCCTAGAACTGGCAGTTCACTTTTAAAGAAAATTTACTCTTAATTATTTGTAGCATAAAATGCTTAACATACTTAAAGAATTTTAAAAATGTATCCGTGCCTGAACTGCCTTTGCTAGGCAACAGTTGTGTAACGGCATACAACTGCATAACTTAGTGACAAAAATTCTGGTCCCAGTTACTTTTGTTAAGTGAGGACTATATATAAAACCAATCAATTATTTCTTTTAACAAAGTTTGGAATAAAGAGAGTATTTTACCGTATGTGAATACAGTCCTTTGTCATATAAAAAGATGTAGCACAAAATCCAACAATTGATTTTATTCAACAAACCATGACTTAATGCAATGTGTGAACCGAACCTTAGTTTCCAGTTATGGTTTTGGCAGCAAGAGATTCATAGGGTTAACACACAATAAACTAAAACTACATATATTCTGATTTAGCATATTGTGTATAGCTACTGTAATCTATAATGCATGGATTATTATAATTAAGATTATTGTGTAAATCGAGCACATTGTTTATTTGTGAATACATTTTAACATCAAGTTTGTGATATCTCTGCCTGGTTAAGGGTGAAGTTGTTCTTTTTTCAAATCAATCAATTACTGTCTCACAGTGTTGCTTATTTCTAATATGGCACCAGCAAGATGCTGCTTGTAACCAATTTAATAGAAGTACTTGTTTGTAAACTATCTTCCCTGAAGACACCCTATGGCCACAGTCTCAAAAACTGACTTCAAAGCACTCTTCAGCTATTGTGATTGACAAAAGTTCCTCTACAGCTCTTCCTCAAGCATACTTTCAGGGAGCAAGTGAGCGTATTATTATGACAGGCATTTGATCTTTGAGAATGCAAGTGATGCATGAAGATTTTCTTTAAGCTTGTTGACTGGCATATATGACTTTTCTATCTATCAAACAATCAAGATTTTCTTTCCTCATTGCAATCCTATTTGATGTTGAAATTAGAAATCAGACATCCCAGTTGTAATGCTACATAATTTTTCATACTAAATTTAGGAGAAAACAACCCCAGCCCTTATTAGATTGAGTTCTGCAGTATTATTCTCCCTATTTGATATAGAGGTAATGCTTAGCCTGATGATTTGGATCTATACAATTTTCCTACATTATTAAACTCTATATAAGGGAGTTTACTAAAACGTGTGGATGAAATTGACCAAATTAATGTTATTTCCTAATATTTGGCTAAGAATTTAAGGAATCTTTTCTGGTAGTTCTCTCATCAAGTTTGATTCGATTAATCTATTCTATTAATATCCAGGCTAATTTTTTCCAGATATTTGCTTCTGAAAAATCTGGTGCAGAAGTTAACAGTAAGATATTTTCTTGAATGAGTATATCATCAACAGATTTTAAATGTTTTAAGTTTTAAACTTTAGAGGCTCAGTTAACTACTTAAACAATGTTCTTTATTCTTTTCATAAAATCTTCTGAATCCCCTTTTTTTGAGACCAGCATAAATGGACATTAAGAGGATGTTATTGAAAATATGACTTTGGTGACAGAAACATCAAGCTTTCTCTGCAGATTTCTTTATATCTACTCAGAAACCTTTTTTTAGCATTGGTGAAATACATTCTTTTTCAATAGCCTTATAGATTTACTAGTAGATTCTTAACAGAGAATAATCCTTTTAATTTCCTCGCCTATGGTTTTTAGATTTTAATATTCTCTTTCTCTCTTTTGTTCTGATTTACTGTCTTTTTCTCTGTTTATCACATTTTACTGCTCTCTGTTGTAAATCATCTGACAAAAGGCACACTGTGGCTTTCATTTCTACAATATATATCCTATTAACAAAATCATTAAAGAATAATAGATTTAGAGATTATAATCTTTACTACCTGTTTTACACTAATGACTTTTATTACACAGAGTTAATTTATTGCTTTGGAAAGACATAACTGAGATCCTTACATAATATTAGATTCCTTTACCTGAACATGCCCAGTTTTTGCTTCAATACACTTTTTTTTTTTTACTTCTGTGATACTGGAAAAGATTAAGGAAAACAGTTTCCTAGCAAGAAACTCCTATTATTACTTTGCTGCAGAACATTACAGCACATTCATTCCAAGACACCCTTAATTCAAACTGTTGAACAAAATAATCTGAATAAATTTGCACTAACTGGGGCTATAAGCTGTCTAAATTTTGTTTAGCCTTGCCTGGAAAAGCTCTTATTTCTTGCTAATAAAAAAAGTTTAAACTCCAAAGTAAACTACTGGGTTTGGATCGGAGCAAACCGGATTCCAGTCCAAGCATATTTATCAACTATGATACACATCTTTGGCTAGGCAATTCAATGTTTCTCTCTCCCTCCTAAAGAATTGCTTGTCCAAGATGAAATCCAGGTATCTTGA